TACTGGGCAGGGAGCTGGGCCCCATGGGTACAGATACCTGGGGAAGCTATGAATTGTTGTTAAACCAAACTAAATGTATCTAAGCTAAGCACCAAGTCCCAGGAGCACTGGCTTTGTTCCAAGGAAATACTTATTAAAGACACGAGTGGAGCTTTTCAAAGCTGAATGTATTGTATCTGGGTCAGCAATGGGAAAACACAGAAGTAGAACTCTACCGGACCATGGAAAGATATTAAGTGGATTGGTTCTTCAAAAGACTGTTTTTGTGAGCATTTACGTTTACAAATTATTAATGTATGTTCATCATTTACTATACAGTGACTTGTGTTATTAAACTGACCAAGGCCTCAAAGAGCTCATTCTCACTCCTGATAATTCTCTTTATTACTGTCAACAGTCACTGTGAACTGGCTCTTTAAACTTGTTAGGGTCACTGAACACAAAGGAGAGCCTCATCTTGCTGGTCTGGTCTTCTTTCCCTTCAATCTGATGGATATGATTGAGGTGGGGCAGGCTTTTAATTAATGGATAGGTGAGGATAAGGATCCATAAACGATGTCACAATTGAGGTACCAAGGAGGCATAACTTGATAACGCTTTGTTATAAGCACATATTATACTTTTGTAACAAAAATTCCGTTGTGCAAAGATTCTCTAAAAACATAAGCAAAAGCTGCAACAATGGGGTTATCGACTCAAATTCTACTAATAATTTTTTGTAAAAATAACCCTACAAAAGTGGAAAACAAAAACCAAACCATCCACCATTGAAATTATCCAATGACAAAGAAAACAGTGGTACCATTATTACAATCTCACACAGTAAGGTAACTTGACCAGATCCCAGTATTATAAAATAACAACAAATAGCTAACAGAAGATTCAGGATTTATGAAATAAAAATTTAAGTCTGTTCTTCAATTAACCAGCAGTCTGAAGAGAACAAATGACTTCTGACCATGTTATCCAAAATGTTTTGAAAACTAATTTTTTCTGTTTTCATGAAATTAATATTACTAATATTTACCTACAGTGATCTTGAATTATTCCAATCAATCAGCAAGAAGAAGAAAGATATCTATACAAACCTACATATGGTCCACCGGGTTTGATAACTTTTGTGCTTCGGTTGCGGGATTCCTCTTCTGCCTGGGTCATTCTTTCTCGTGTCATCTGATACGAGTCGTTTGTTGCACACACTGTTATTTTATCTTGTATAAATCCCAGGCAATTGAGCTGGGAGGCTCCAGAGCTGTCAAGTAAGACGGCAGCTTTATTAGAGATGTCCCTCATTTTGCACAATTTTAAAGGCTAACGAAAATTGTATAATCCTAAAATCAGCAGTCCAAATAACTTTACAGTCCTAAAATACCTGATATTAGTAACTTTTAAATGTAAAGATTATTTAAAATATTTGAGTTTCTCATCTTCATTCCATGTCACATTTTTTTCCACATTGTGAGTTGAATGGATAAACTGAGCTCTGAGACCAAATCCATGAAATTTTGAAAAACACCAGTATTTGAAGTGAAGATTGGAGTCCTGATGAGTAATATAGTTCTACTTTCATTGTCAGTCAACTATTTTTAAGAATTATCTACCATTGATATGAGAAATGTTAAAAGTTTAACTATTAGTGAAACCATAATATGCATGTTTTAGAACTGACTAGATGAAATAGACTCATCACAATTTTTTTTATTTTTAAAGAACACTAATTTTAAAGCTAAAATACTGCCCAACATTAAACCTTACTTTATTATTATTAGCCCAAAGATCCTAAACATTTGTAGAATTTATATTTACTACTTTGTTAAATCTCTATAAGAGGACTGGACCTATTTACACAGCAAATATTGAAGAAAATACTGGACAAGAGATTTTGGCAGAATATCTTAATAAACTTTTAAACACAATCATTAATATTAATGTTGGCCCAGAAGATGGCTCTGTTTCAAAGTATTATGCTAATATTAGGGGATCACAGTAATAGTTATACTGGTATTTTAAAATAAATAATTATGGTCTTAAAACAGACTGGAATATAAAAGTAATGAAAATGCCACTGCAGCTCTGATACTCTATTTCCAAACTTAATTGGAAATAGCTTTGTTATGATGCTAATAAGAGTTGATAAAATTTTTATAAATTGCTAATTAACTGTCTGTACAAATACCACTTTTCAAAAAATCAGTTTATTCATCTCATAAATATTTATTGGGCAGGGACTGCATGCCAGGCAATGTGTGAGGTACGCAAGCTGTGATAAGGACTGAGATAGATGTAGCGCCTCCTTCAAGGAGTTCTCTGTCTAATGGCTAACAAGGATGAGCAAATTAGAAATTACGACATGATATGAGAAATGCCAGGGGGTGGGGTGGGGGGCAGGGAATTCCAGGAAAGTACTTTGGCCTGATGTATGGGTAAGGCAAAGCTTCCTAGAGGAGGAAGTGATACCCGAGCTGATCTAGAAGAATAACTAGACAAGGGAGAAGAAAGACAGAAGTGTTCTAGGGGAATAACCAACTTGTGCAGGCCCAGGGAGAGCAAGGAAGAGTTTTTCAGTTAAGCCAAAGACAGTTGTAAAGGACAATTAGAGGTGAGGCTGAAGAGATTATGAGAAGTACATTACACAGAGCTTTAGAGGTCATGGTATGGATTTTGGACCTTATCCCAAGAATGACAGAGGCTGAAAATAGGGTAGAGAAAATATCTCATTTATATTGTAGAAAGATCAATCTGGATAAAGAACAGATTGGGAGGAAGGGGATACAAGAATGAAAGCAGGAGAGCAGTTAGGGCACTATTGAAAGATTATAGGCAAAACTGATGGCTTGAACCAGTGTAGGGCAGTGTGAATGCAAAACAGTAAGCAGATTCCAAAGACAGTGAGGAGGCAGAATTGACAGGGTTTGGTTAGTGATTAACCATAGGAGGAGAGAGTGGGGGAGGGGGAAGTAGTTAAAGATCATGCCCAAGTTGTATGGTGTATGGAGCTGCCATTTATTGAGACACTGGGATAGGGCTGGGAGACAGAAAATGAGTTCACTGTTGAACATGATGACTTTGAAAAAATGAGGGAATCAACTGTGAAGAACACTAATATTTAAAGTAAGCAACAGGAAGACCACAGGAGACTAAAAAATCACAGCCAAAGAGGTAGAGGGAAATCAGAAGATCAGTGTGTCATGCAAGCCACTAGAATAGAATACATTAAGAATCAGAGTGGTCAACGATGTGAAATGCTGGCAACAAATCCAGCCTAATAAGAAACGAATAAGCGTCCACTGGATTCAGGGGCAAGGGGTTCAAAGCCTCCTTTGGGAAGCAGTTTCAGTGGAATGATGAGGACTGAATCCAGACTTTGGCTCCAGAGTGAGTGCAAAGGAGATTCTTTGTCTTTATATTCTTTTTAAATGAGACTCACCTGCTGAGCATGTATGAATACTGAAAAACCAGTAAAAGGAAGGGAGTGGGGAGGGAGAAAAGAAGGGAGGTTTAACCCTCAGGGGAAGTGGGATGAAGGAGAAGAGTAGGAAAAAAAGATTGCAGGAGAGTACAGAGAAGATGAAGTATAACGATCTGGTGGCAGGAAGTTTGAATTTCAATATCTTCCCTTATTATTTACTAAGTAATTTACATAGTAAAAATAAGGTGAACCTATTGCCAACCATGATGAAGTTTTAGTTTACAGAATTCAAGATCAAGAAACAGATATTTACTGGAAAACTAAACAGAGCTAAACCCTGCAGGCAAGAAGATATTCTCTAGAATTCTCACCCCTTTTCAATTGAGTTACATTAAAATTTAAATACCTTGACATATGTGTATACATATTTCTATAGACTTTCTCTAGCCTAGCTCACTGTGTCCCACACTTGATTGTGCATTACTGTACAGGGCTGTATGCCCCAAACTATTTTCACTAGGCCTGTGAATGGACAGATTTAAGGAATTTTTTAAATTTAATTTTGACTTTGGGATTTCTTCCATCTTATATGAGAAAAATGTGGCTTAAAGAGATTTAAAAAGGAAGATAAGAAAAGAAACAAGTTAATATGTAATTTTGGGACATCTATTGAGCATTCAGTTTGAGCTCCACCAATACTGTAAGACTAGAAAAAGGGCATAAAAAAGTCCCTGCCTTTGAGGAGCATGAACAATTGCAGGAGAGACAGGATCCATGAGAAAAATAAAAATTCAATTGAATAGAAAAGGTAGATGTAGATTATGAAAAGGTTTGCTTGCCAGGTTGAGAACTAAAAGTTTCAATGCTTTTATTTTTATAGTTGCAAATTTCAATTTATACCACACCATTTTAAAAGTACCTTGGATCATACTTTTATACTGGAACATACTTTTTATAAAGCATACTTAGATCATACTATTGCATTTGCTCCAATTTTCTCACAATAATTTCTCTTCTCTTGCTGCATCACGTATAGTTTTTTTTTCAGGTGAGCTTAAAACCTTCTCCAAACACAGAGTATTGTGATGAAAGGGAGAAACCATATCACCTATAATGATATGACTGGTTTTGAAAAAGGGATTAAGTTCCTTAACAAAATTCCTAATGAGACATAGTTCAATTTGGTGTCAAAATGTTCTCACTATAGTAAAACAATTCTCTAAAGACAAGCAATCCAGGTGATGGCACCGCAATTCGAAATCGATGTACCTTGTGGTGTATAATGAACACTGAACCAGGAGTTAGGAGAGCTCAGTTCCCATCCAGCCCTGTCACTAACTAACCAGCTATATAAATGTGGGTAAGTCACCTGTGAAAAGAAGGGGACGAACTACACAATTATTAAGGACCCTTATACTTGGTGATTCTATAATTTATTGCAATACTTCCCATAGAACTTTCTACAATGGTAAAATGATCTGTATCTATGTTGTCCAATATGACTTCCACTAGCCATGCGGGCATTTGAGCCCGCCGTAATGTGTGGTTAGTGTGAGTGTAGAACTGAACTTTTTAATTTTTTTTTCATTTTTATCAATTGAAATGTAGATAGCCACATATGGCCAGTGGCTATCATAGTGAATAGTGCAGAAAGGTCTATGGAATCAATAACATACGCAATTTATACCAAAATCTATAAGTTTGGGGGTGGGCAAAATTAACATATACTCAGGAAAATAGCAGATTAAGATCAAAAAGTTATTTAGTCACTTTCAATGGGAGGAGAAATTTAGAACTTTCAGTGATTTCTCTTATTTTATATCTCTGCCTCCTGTGCTCACCTGAAACACAGCTTTCCTTTTGTCTTTCTCCCACACAGAGAGAGCAATGATAGTTTCAAGTACAGCACAGGTGAGATAGGGATGGATGGCCCCAGGACACTTTGGGCCAATATCATGGTTTCTTGGAAGGCTGGGGGCTCTAAGGCCTTGTCTTTAACCACAGGCAGAACAAACTCTCTACTCTAGGGGCCCATTCTTTAATCAGAAACAACCACTGCAAAGAATAGTGAAAACAAGCAGCCTATTGTTTCAGAAGATCTAAGTAGATAAGGGTTCCATGGTACTCTGGGATGTGCATGTATATTCTCGTCTGCCCCGCCTCCCCCGCCTCAACCCCTTTTTAAAATCAGAAGTGACGGCTGTACTGGGGTTAATTTCTTATTTTCATTCTGCTGCAGAATAAAGATTTTAAAAAATCTATCTTAGAACAAGGCTTGCACAAGGAAGAAGGGAATGTACAAGATATATACATACATGTTTTTCTCCTTTACCCTTGAATGTGAGCCTTGAGTATACTATAAAAACACTCTTATTTAAATGCAGTAAATAAAAACTTCTTAAAAAACTCCGAACTTGTCTTTAATTAAAATAAAAAAAAACCAACCATGTTTTATAGCTGAAAAAATTTGTACCTTGAGTGCAAGAATGTTACAATTTTTTTGATTATATCCCACAGTGACAAATATAACCTCTAGCACACAGTAGATGCTCATTATTTCTCAAATGAATAAATGAACTTTGCCATTCAATTCAATAAATATTTATAAGTGAGTACTATGCATTTTATTGTTTAATTTTTAAAAAACCTCAAAGAAAAATTATTTGCCTTTTAGTATACCTTGAAATGTACTTACCTGGAGAACCTTTGCTGGATGCAGTCAAAGCTGCCCTGAGGGTTGTCTTTACCCACATTTGACAAATAGAAGTTAAACGTATGCACTTCATTGAGGGGATCATTTTTGGGAATTTTGACAAGCTAAAAAGAGGGAAAAAGAGAGAAATACCTCAAATTATAAAATTTGAGAATGATATGATAACTGACTTACTGTTTTTCAAGTAACAGTCACTTTATACCCAAGTTGCCCTCTTGAGCATTTAAATTTACAGCATTTAAATTACCAAATCATCCAAAGAATCTGGCAAGCATATCTATAACTCGCCACATTCTCATGTATATTTTCTACCCTTAAGTGTTAGTAATCACTTCTACTCAGTAATTAGTTTTTAAGAGGAATCCTTTTCATTTTAAATAAGCAAATGACTACAGTTTATTTTTTTACAGTTACTAGTGAATTGGTCAAAAAGCTCTTCCTATTTTGAGATACACGAGGTTCCACAGGTTCTGTCAGGCTGACATGACCCCTGCTGAATAGCTTCTAGATATTTAAACGGTCTCTGAGATAGGATCCACATTCCAATCTTTTGCTCTCTTTTTATATACATATTTCATTTTAATTCTTGCTTCTTAGAATAATATTTTTGAAGAATAACTAGCAGTATAGGTGAATGCCACGATTATATTCACACCAAAATGCAGCTGGGTTTTTCTCTCTACCCTATGGTTCCCTTATTCACCTTTAATTTTATAGAACAGGGTCAGCAGTCTGCAGAGATGATTCTGCAGGGAACTCCAAGGCTGATCCATAGGCAACACTGTGAAACAGGCAGATGTGTTCTATGCTCTTGCTCAAGGCCTGGTTTCTCTACTAGATGGAAAATCCTATGAGTGAAGGGCCAGGGTTGCTCTAGATGGCTGAGCTCCTGCACCAGTCACATTTTACTGGTACATGGTAGAAGCTCAATAAACATTTTTGAACAAATGAACTAGAACCTGCTCACTGTCTTTGAACTGCTCCACCTTTTCAGCTCCTGAGATCTGCAGGGCCCACCATGGTGATAATTACAAAAAGGTTTAGTTAGAAAGAATGTAAAATATGACATCCTGCTCTCCAGCCCTCAAATGCATTCTTAGTGATTTAGAAGATACTCAGGGAGAAGAAAATGTTTTATAATTCTCATTCTTCTCCCCCAAATCTGTCCCTTCCGTGACTGGAAAATTAAGACTCAGAGCTAATTGGCTGGTGTGTGTGTGTGTGTGTGTGTGTGTGCACGCACGTGTATTTCACACACTCATATACATACACACGTTTGACCTCTGCTTGGCCCTGAGGACACCCTGAACCTCTTGACTTGCTTACTTAAAAAAGATTTCTAACTTTTGACCTACAGAAAAAAATTTGGAGCCACCAATTCTAACCCATACCCCACATCTAAAAAAGTAAGAAGGGAGACAATTTGCACTGTTTGGCACATAGTAGACATGCAATAAATGTCTGTTGAAAGAATGAACAAGGAGAATAAGAAGTCAAAGAAAATCATCTCTTCAAAGGAGATTCATAAGACTCATGTAAAGCTTGTAAGGCCACATTTCACCAAAGATATTGAATATTTGATAATATTCCATAGAACCTCCATCATCCACGAATTTAAACTCTTTGGTTCCCTATTTTAAATTAGTTCCCATTCCTAGAGTAACAAATTTCTGCATTTATTATATACTCTACAAATCATATCTTTTGAAGGCTCTAAAGTTACTCCTTTTCCCCCAAATTTCCTGTAGTTCTAAACTGCTGGAACTTTGTGAACAGATCTTAATTTATTGTCTTTAAGTACACATCAGGACAGCCTCCTAACCCCCACCCCTGCCAACGAAGAATCACCCAGTATAAAATGTCAGTGGGACCCATGTTGAGAAATTATGGATTAGAAATAGGTTGCTCCCTTAGGAGAGAAGTCAGAGAATTTTGACTTCATTGACCTCAAACTTAATAAAGAAGTAGAGGGAAAAATGGTATCTTCAAATAAATGAAAGTGCTCATTTTATTTCAAACTAAAAAGAGCCATTTTAACTTATTTAAAATACTTATTCCAGTTTTTTAACCTCCAATCACAAGACAATGAAAAGTAAATAAGTGCACATGAGCCACTTTTATAGTGTATGTAGCCATGGAGAGAATGTGAAGATTAAGTATCTACTGCAACCTCTCTTAAATTTTACAAAGGCAACAAATAAACAAATGGATTAACAGGAGTTATAAAAAAGTACTTCATTTGCAATGCCCACTTTAGATATCTAAATAAAAAAAAGAGAGAGATCTTGAAAAGAGGCTATGAATTAACTCTCAAAATGAGAAAGGATCACTTCAGGACGGAGAGAGTGAATCTTTGTAGTGACAGTCTCTGAGAATTGTTCCCCTAGTAAGTTCCAAAAGCCTCACTGGCAAAAACAATCAGAAAAGATTAGTATAGTTTTCAACTTTAAAAAAGACTAAACAGAGTAATATTTATCTGGAGAGTGCTTGTAATCCCTACCATTCTTCCTTATTCTTACATATACCATGCATTTTGATAAGGTTCTCAGGCTGTTAGCTATCAGTGACAAACAAGCTTTGTCCTTGGCTCTGTGGAAGAAAGGTAGTATGACGGAGAATGACAGCAAGATTTCTCAATCTCTCCTACTCACTGTCCCACTCTGTGGGCATCTGTGTGTGAGCGGTGTGTGGATGGAGACAAGAGTAGGCATCAGGGCAAACTGTATTCATTTTGGGACCCAAGGGTGAATCTCAATGCATATCATGGTATTTTTTTCCAGCTATGGAGCTGGGGTGGGGGTTGGAGGTTAAGGAATTATAAGGGAACATGGTGTGCTGAGTTTCTACAGTACTTTTTTCCTCAGTGGTTTTCAGAGCAGCGGCAATGCAGATAGTACAGACTGACCTAATCTCAGGCTCTTCCTGTAAAAGATCTGAGAGCAAAATGTCGCCAAGCAATCTTTACATCTTTAAAATTTCAAAAGCTTAAATTACATGGTCTACGAATTTAGTATCTGATTTCCTGAAGATGGTACAAATTATACACAAATTTTATTTGTATCAACATCTAAATATACTCTTAAGAATAAAATGGTTGTACAAAGGAGCACTTATGTTTATAGCTGGTAAGTCTGTATAACAGTTTGGCTTGATGGGCAGTAAAGGAGATTTAGTGGAAATAGCAGGTTGTGTATGACAATTAGGGCAGGCAGGTGTTGGGGGTAGAATGGGGGACTGGAGGATTCAGAACTAAACTAAGGGGACCTGAGTGAACCACAGCCTGTGGGACGGTGGAAGGCCATAGCTAAAGTGGGAGCTGAGACCTTGTCTCATCAAGGGTAACAAGTGAGCCATTTCAGAGACTAGACCTCAGAGGAACTCATCATTCATCTCTGATGTACAGGAGCTTATGCTACAGCTTATCTAGATACTGAAATAGGAGTACGTCCCTTCTTCCAGAATGGTAACAAAACATTTTCTTATTAACTGGCCTTTGAATTTATGGAATATGATGAAGAGGAGATGAAAATGAAATGACTCTCATTGTTGGGCCTTGGGTCAGTTTCTGGGGACTGGGCTAACCACCATGGGAAAAGAAATTCTGAAATCTGATATAGAAGCAGACTTGGAAGAGCATCTCTTTGTGTGATAGGAACTTTTCAATTTTAATTATAGTATTTTAAGCTTTTGTACAGGTGAGTGGAAATACCTTTATATTTAGGGATCTATAGTCTAGTTGAAATTTTTAGTTAAATGCCTTAAGAATGAAATCTCACTTAAAAAGTATCAAAGACTATGATTCCAAACAGCTTCTTATTTAAGATGAAGATGGAAAAGCAGATTTTAATTTACATTCCAAAAACAAGAAATTGAAAATCAAAGATTCAAGACCATAATCCACAACCCTCCACCCAAATCCTAGTCTGTCTTCGATAAAAAGCCATTAAGAAAAAGTTTCAGGAAACTTTCAGACATTTATAATTAACATAAACACTGTATACCAAGATGTGTAACTCGAAGTTTCTAATTATTCTGAGATACAAGCTCAGGCATGTGGCAATGGAATACTGTCTGAAAGGTCATTTCAACATCAAGTCATGGACCTTCTATTTACATAAGGATGTAGGGCAGAAATGCAATGTGCATACTGCTGCAAGTTTCTCACACTTGCTAACATGTGCTTAAAAGCTGTTGGTACCTTTACTGCAGAGGTTTCTTACCCTTAAGTCAAATACCTTCTATTCAACATTGGATTGAGGCACACACTAGATTAAAAATATGATCATCAAGACTTTTTTCACATTTATTTAAAATAAATGCTTTGTTCTTTTGTGGGGGTTATAAGTGATTTAAACTTACAGGAGCTTTTCTTTGAAAGTAATTTTATCGGTTTTAATATTCAACCTTTTCTGCTAAAGTGACCGTAAATAAACACTTAATGAGATGCTCATGACCCAGCAGTATCACAGTTTGATATAACTCTTGGTCCTTAAAGCAGACCCACAGTGCTGACAGGGCTTTTGAGATCATGTAGTTTAATTTCTTCATTTTGTAGAATAGGAACATAGAGAGCCTCAGTGACTTGCTCAAGGTTATGATTATATTCAAAATTGCATACCCTGTAACTCCTGAACCCCTCGCCTTGATCCATGTTTGTCTGAAACACTTGGTGCCTGTGTTACTTACAAATTATATTTATTGTCTTTTTCCCCTGACTAGAATATAATCCTTGGAAGGACAGAAGTTTTTGTCTAGTTTGTTCCTTGTATATATCACTAACATTTTGAATAGTGTGTGGCACAAAGTAGTTATTCCATACATGTTTGCTGAGTTGGTAAAAATGCTGATTAATGCTTGAGCCAGGACTAGAATTGAAGTGTCTGCTTTCTTTCGATCAATATTTCCAAAGCATGTGGAAAAGTTTCCTTATATGAAAAAGGGATTATATCCTCAAATAAATTTGTGAAATCTCAGGTTAAACAAGACAACTTTCTTTGCTGTAGGTCCTTTGATACTAAATAGTGGTTTCCCAAATTATATAACCTCAAAACTCACCTCCTTCTATTCCTCTGATATCTCTGGAGACAAGCCTATCTCTTAATAT